TTGTTCTTGCTTCCTGGAATGCTCCTCAACCCTAATCCTCCATTCACCACATAGAGGAAAATCCTATCCCTCCTTAAAGATTCACTTCAAATGATTCTTTGCCAGTGAAGGCTTCCCTGACTATTCCTCATCTCCTCCACCTCTCAACCCCAAACACATATGTCCAGACCCATTACAGAGATTTCATTACTCCTTCTCTGTTCCCATAGCACTTTCCTCATAGTTTTTTTACAGTACTTATTATAATGATTTGTATTTAGTTGTTTATATGTCATGCCTCTCATTGTATTGTGAGTTCTTCCAGAACAGTAAATGAATTTTGTTCATTTCTATATTCCTAGTCACTAGCACAGAACGTGGCATATACTAAGACTCAGTAAAAGTTTGGTTTGGGGAGAAGTGAGAGAATAAACAAAGATGAAAATCAAATTCTACATAAAATATTATGAGAACACATAAGAAGGAGTAATTAATTCCAGTGAGGTAGCTTCACAGACAAGGTGGCATTTGAGACGACCCTTGAAAAATGAGTAGGACTTGACAGGTGGAGATGGGTGTTGGGGGAAGGGAGGGTGATGAGAAGGGCATTTAAAGCAGAACTCCTTAAGGATTTAAGAACCGAGTTCATTGTAGCGAAATAATGCTGTTAATTAGCATGTTCCTTATCTGTTCATTGTAAACAAGCCTAATAGGAACTCTACTTGCTAACATTTTAACAAGCACTGTGAATTAATATATAGTTTGAAAATAGTGATACTATGTTGTCCTTTAAAAAAACTGATAATTTAGATCATTCTCTCCCCCACCCCTACCAAACTAGTCCAGAGTTTGGCTAGGTACATTGTAAATTCTTAATCTTTGATCTCAAAATTCTTTATTGAGAATAATTCCTAATTCTCTTATATATTTCCCATGCCTGCAGAGCCAGTGAGTAGCCAGACTGTTGCAAAAAATTATTTTTAGCATTGGGGACCAGTCCTTCTAAACCTGTTTCCTCTAAGAGTCATTCTCCAGCCAGCAGAGAAAATCAAAGTGCATACTCAGTAACATCCTAAAGGTCCCTTCCAGCTATAACATTGTCTAAAACTTGTCTCCCTAGTTGGGGATTGGGAGTCAAGATGAACCTAATAATCATTATATAAACTCTTGACCCAAAGGATATTTGATGCCCCATGTTTGTTTTCTTGATAATATTTACAAGAGGCTATTTCTAGCCTTCTTGTATGCGTTCTCAGAGACCACTGGAAACTGGGTGTGAGGACTAGAGCTCCTACAGACAGAGAAATCACCAGTTCTGAAATGTGATTTCTGACTGCGGTAACAAATGCTTAGGGCCATCAATCACTCTGTGTGTGTGGCGGGGGGGTGGTTTATGGAGGGGAAGCATAGGCAATTTCGCAGTATAGGAGAATAATAAAAACTAATATTTCAGAAATAATGTTTTTGGCCATTTGCATTTTCTTGTAATGACCAATCAGTGACCAAAATAGCACTTGTATAAATAACCCAGCCAAGGATCATCCCTCATATTGCCAGGTTGGAAGGATGTGATGGACGGATGTTAGCAAGCTACTATTAGAATAGAGTTGCCTTTGGGGGTGTAATTGGCAGGAGTGCATACTGGGAGGTAGGAAGAAAGCAATGGAAAGTTTTTTTTTAATGGCTATCAGTAGTCAGAGGGAAATTTACCAAAATAAAAGACTTTTTGTGCTCAGATGACTTACGACTATATCTCTCCCAACTGTGCAATATATACATGCACATGCATGTATAACCTGCTTCAACGTCTTTGCTTATGTCATCCCTGCTCTGGAATGTCTTACCCCCTCTTCTTTACCTATTTAATAACTACCCATAATTCAAGACATATGCTATAGAAATCTTTCTTTCAAATCCTGTCTTCTCCACAAAGCCTCATTCCTTAAACTCCAATAACATTCCTAGTCTATACTCTTTGAGTCTTTCATTGTTTCCTAATTGTTTATTTGGAGGTACTAAAGCATGGTGCCTAAAAGTACACATTCTGTGTGACCTTGGACTATATATGTAACCCTTCAAAACCTCTCATCTATTAAATGGAGATATAAAGAGCCCCTATCTCATAGGGTTGTTTTGAAAGTTAAATGAAAATAATGCATGCCAAGAGCTTTACCTAGCATATGGCAAATGTTCAATAGTTAGTGGTAGTAATGGATGGAGGTGGTGAGAGTAATGATAATAATAATCATCATCACCATCATCATCGGTCTCTTCAGTTAGATTGTATAACCTTTGAAGGCAGGGACTATGTCTCCTATCTGCTTGTACTCTGCTATCCTAACCCCCCAAATACTCAATTGGTTAAATTGATATTTGTTGATCATGTGTCCAACTCAAAAGTACCGCCTCAAAGATATGAAATTCCATCAGGAATACAATTTTTCCTTTTCATTGCTACTATGGCAACCCCTTTTGGATGTTTTTTCTTGGTTTGCATGCATGAGTAGTTTGGATGAAAGCTGCTGGAGTAATCATATGCAACTAGACTATGAGAAGAATGGGAAACATCTTAATCATCCCAAGCTCCTGTGGTGTGTACACTTGAAAAAAAAAACTCGGAAAACTATAAAATTCTGATGAAAAAAAGCCAAAGAAGAACTAAATAAATAGATATTTCATGTTCACGGATAGGAAGACTCAATATTGTCAAGATGTCAATTTTTCCCAACTTGATTCAATCAAAATCCAAGCAAGTTATTTTGTGGATATAAAAAAAAAACTGATTCTAAACTTTACGGAGAGGCAAAAGACCCAGAGTAGCCAACACAATATTGAAGAAGAAGAACAAAGTTGGAAGGCTGATGCCTCCCAACTTGAAGACTGACTGTAAAGCTATAGTAATCAAGACAGTGTGGTACTGGTGAAAGAATAGACAAATAGATCAATGGAACAAAAGAGAGAGCCCATAAATAGACCCACATAAATAGAGTCAACAGATCTTTGACGAAGGAGCAAAGGCAATACAATGGAGCAAAGATAGTCTCTTCAACAAATGTGCTGGAACAACTGGACAACCACATGCCAAAAAATGAATCTAGACACAGATTTTATACCCATCAAAAAATTAGCTCAGGGCTTCCCTGGTGGCGCAGTGGTTGAGAGTCCGCCTGCCGATGCAGGGGACACGCGTTCGTGCCCCAGTCCGGGAAGATCCCACATGCCGTGGAGCGGCTGGGCCCATGGGCCATGGCCGCTGAGCCTGCGCATCCAGAGCTTGTGCGCTGCAACGGGAGAGGCCACAGCAGTGAGAGGCCCACGTACCACCAAAAAAAAAAAATTAGCTCAAAATGGATCATAGACCTAAATGTGAAATACAAAACTGTAAAACTCCTAAAAGACAACATAAGAGAAAGCCTAGATGGCTTTGGATATGGCAATAACTTTTTAAATATAACACCAAAGTTATGATCCATGAAAGAAATTATTGGTAAACTAGACTTCATTAAAATTAGAAAACTTTGTGAAAGACAATGTCAAGAGAATGAGAAGACAAGACATAGACTTGAAGAAAATATTTACAAAATACACATCTGATAAAGGACTGTTATCTAAAATACACAGAGAACTCTTAAAACTCAACAATAGTAAAACAAACAACCTGATTGAAAAATGGGCCAGTGACTAATAGACACCTCACCAAAGAAGATATATGGATGGTAAATAAGCATATGAGAAGATGCTCCACATCATATGTCATCAGCGCAATGCAAATTAAAACAACAATGAAATACCACTACAAACCTATTAGAATGACCAAAATCCAGAACACTGACAACACTAAATACTGGTGAGGATGTGGATCAACATTTACTGGAGGTGGGAATGCAAACTTGTGCAGCCACTTTGGAAGCCAGGTTGCCAGCTTCTTACAAAACTAAATATGCTCTTACCATACAATCCAGTGATTGCAGTCCTTGGTATTTACCCAGAGGAACTGAAAACTTATGTTCACACAAAACGTGCACAGAAATGTTTATAGCAGTTTTATTCATAATTGCCAAAACTTTGAAGTAACCACAATGTCCTTCAGTACGTGAAAAGATAAAGTGTGGTATATCCAGACAATGGAGTATTATTCAGCAAAAAAAAAGGAGCCATGGAGCCATGAAAAGACATGGAGGAAACTTAAATGTATATGACTAAGTGAAAAAAGCCGATCTGAAAAGGCTGCATACTGTATGATTCCAACTATATGACATTCTAGAAAAGGCAAAACTATGGAGACAGTAAAAGATCAGTGGTTGCTGGGGTTGGGGGAGGGGAGAAGGATGAATAAGTAGAGCACAAAGGAATTTTAGGGCAGTGAAAATACTCTGTATGATACTACAATGATGGATACATGTCACTATACATTTTTCAAAGCCTGTAGAATGTAAAACACCAAAGTGAAACCTAATGTAAACTATGGCTTTTCGATGATTATGATGCATCAGTGTAGGTTCATCAGTTGTAACAAATGAACCACTCTGGTGAGAGATGTTGATAATAGGGGAGGCTATGCATGTGGGAGGGTGGGTGTATATGTGAAATCTCTGTACTTTCCCCTCAATTTTGCTGTGAACCTAGAACTACTCTAAAAAATAGTTTTCATTGACTTTAAAACAAGGAGGAAGGAAGGAAGGAAGGAAGGAAGGGAGGGAGGGAAGAAGGGAGGGAGGGAGGGAGGAAGGAAAGAAAGAAAAGGGAGGGAGGGAGGGAGGGGAGTGGGGTGAGAGAGAGAGGGAGAGAGAGAAAGAAAGAAACACTGAAATGCCATCTGGTAAAGGGCTTTCAAATTCTATAACTTCCTGCCAGTTCGAGCTGTATTGTTTTAACCCTTGTAAAGAGCTGAAATTAAGGCTGTGTCCACCACTTGTCCATCAGTCCATTTCTGTAAAGAGTTGCCAGAGTTTACATTGATAAGTGAACTAGATACTGAAACCTTAATACAACAAATTATTTTGCTTGTCATTTCTTCTTAGCTGATAATAGTAGAACTCTGAATGTGGATTCCACTGCAATGACACTACCCATGTCTGATCCAACTGCATGGGCCACAGCAATGAATAATCTCGGAATGGCACCGCTGGGAATTGCCGGACAACCAATTTTACCTGGTATGCTATTTTTAATCACCTCACAAGTGTTTCTTTTTATTGACCATATGGACATAAATATAACAATATGACACAACTTATTTTGAAGTTGACATTTATCAGATTCTGCCTAGAGTGTGCATTTTTGTAATATGAGCTTTATAGGCTGGGTGGCCTGTAGTTACTAGTATAGTCCCTATTGCACTATGGGCAAGCTGGGGGTATATCTGATGCAGGATATGGTCACTGAATATTTAACTCATTGCAATAAAAGTACAGCAGGATTTGGCAAAGAATTACAAAGTTTGTCTAATTTTATACATTTCTTAGAGGAAGCAAATAAACATGGAGCTAGAATGAGAACTGACTTAGATATCCCAAAAATCTTAGGTTCCTAGAGGGAAGGACAGGAGATAGCGGGGAACATCCCAAAGACTATTGTTAACATTGAATAACTGTTCATATTTTTTAGAACAAAGTAACCTGTAAGAGAATGGGCATGGTATACTAACTCCATCTCCACTAAAGATAAAATCAGAAGGAAAATGCCATGTCATCTGAAGGGCTTAGTTTAGACACAGAAAAGCTTCCTGGACTATCAGAGCCATTAACCATAAAAATAGGTTTGTGAATGTGCCTTGGGCAACTCAAATTTTTTATCGCTCTGCATATGACCTTAAATGACCATGAAAGTATTGTGAGTATTGATTTGGGGGGTTACAAAGGAATTTTAGCAAGTAGGCAAATTTGCAAATATAAAATCATGAATAATGATATAAATGTTATAAAATAATTATAAATTTGATCAAAAAATGGGTTTATGAAGACATTAGGGAATTGTCATATCAGGAAGCCTGGGGTGCTTTTTAAACATCCTAAACATTAATCTCCCAGATTCACTTGTTATCCTACTTAAAAGCATGACAGGACCAAGACAATCTAGGCCAATCTAGGACCTTGCTACTCAAGTGTGGTCTGCATAACCTGGGAGCTGTTAAGAATCCCAGAATCTCAGGCCACAGCCCAGACCTACTGAATCAAAGCTGCATTTTAACATGATCCCCATGTGATTCATAAGCACATTAAAGTTGAGAAACAGATCTAGAGTGATGCCACTTAGGGTTGTTGTGAGAATTAAATTGTGCTTAGTAAAATTCCTGGCACATAGTTAGTGCTCAAAAATGTTGGCTATTAAAATACTTTAAAAATCATTATTAATATATTTCTCATAAACATTTCCAAAGGGTGTAATTTTTTATTTCATTTTTCTTCATTATTTTATTATAATAGAATTTAAACTAAAATCTTATATATTATTTTATAGCTTTATATAGAGTGGTCCTGAATCACAATCACAATCACTCTAGACTATCTCTTATAGTCTAGAGTGACTAGATTATCTGATTTGGCTTAAATATTACCAATTTATGGAAGACTGAACTGTATGGGTATATGTCCCAGAAAAAATCTTGAGGCTAGACCTACTCTGTTACTAAGAGGACTAAATGTTAGCTTAGATTATTTGTAAATTACCACATTTAAACATAACTCTATGCTCACAAAGTAATCTTCAGTGCTTTGCCACCCATCTATAATGTGGAACAAAAAAAGGCCTAACATTGAGAGTAAAAAATCATCCAGGCCATCGTTACAGGCCCAAAGCTGTGCTAGGGTCAATATCAGGCCTAGAAAATTGGGGTAGGTTTTCATAACAGTAGCTCAGAGGGCTATTTCTGTAGAGACAGTAACTTGCTTAGTACAGGCCTCAAAGACAAACTGCTCGGGTTAAATCCTGGCTCTGCCACTTGCTAGCTATGTGACCTTGAGCAAGTTACTTGACCTATCTGTACCTCAGTTTTCTCATCTGTGAAATGGGGATGGTTATAGTATCTACCTCATAGGATTGCTGTGAATGTTAAATAATATACTTAGCACAATGCTTGGTATATAATAAGCACTCAGTGAAGGTTAACTGGTGCCATTATTATTGCTATTAGTCATATTACATGTTATTTAAGATAAAGGAAATACTAACATACTTCCTTCAAATAGCTGCTAAGCTGCCATTTAGACTGAAAGTACTTGGGTACTAGGCAGCCAGTGTCAGCGCTAATCACATCCACCCCAACTAGACATTTGAAACCTCAAGAGTGATTTTAATTTCTACTTCAAGCCCCTTTGCCTTCCTCTTGTTTTCTTAAGGACTATGAAGAAATGGCTTCTCATGGTCCCCTTCAACCCTGTGACTCAGGGATCATTTAGCTATGCTCCAAAGAAAGTTACTTGGGTTTTTGGAAACCTGGTCTTAGAAATACTGATATTTAGTTCTCTTAAAACTAATAATAATAATAATAAATTTTAAAATTTAAAAAAATACTCCTCCCCGATAAAAAAGGGCTTCCCTGGTGGCTCAGTGGTTGGGAGTCCGCCTGCCGACGTAGAGGACGCGGGTTCGTGCCCCGGTCTGGGAGGATCCCACGTGCCGCGGAGCAGCTGGGCCCGTGAGCCATGGCCGCTGGGACTGCACGTCCGGAGCCTGTGCTCCGCGGGAGAGGCCACAACAGTGAGAGGCCCGCATACCGCAAAAAAAAAAGTATACAGGGCAATAGCACTAGGCTGAGACATACTTTGTAAAGCTATGTGTAAAATCACTTCAGTTGTATGTGAAATGATTTTTCTCCTCTCCATATTATTTTAGGGAAGCAATTTACTCATCAGATTAGAACATGGGTTCTGGATATAGACTGCCTGGGTTCAAATAAATCCCTGCTCTGACATTAAGTAGCTGTGTAACCTTTGGCAATTTACTTAACCTCTCTATGCCTCAGTTTCTTCATTTGTAAAACAGAGATAATAATAGCACCTATGACATAGCATTGTTATGAGGATTAATGAGTTAATACATGTAAAGTCTTAGAATGATGCCTGACTCACAGTAATTCCTCAGTGAACTCAGCTATGATTATTATTATTTCAAGTTCACATCTGATATATGGCTCACAAAAAGTTGAATTATGGCTTATTTCTATTCTTAACAACAATGAAGTATAATGAATGCAGGGACAAATTTTTCCCTGGAGAAGAACTGGACAATGGCAGGTGAAGAGAACAGTGTGTGTCTGACAATGCTGGTGACTGCTCCCTGTAAGTCTGGTGGGGGGTGTCCAGAGAAGCAGAAAGTTGGCTCCACACGCCAATGCTGCTTACCCTTCTTCTTGCTAGAGTCTGGGAAACAGGGGGCCTGCCACCTTTTTATGTAATGTTTTAACTGAATGGGATAAAACATCCCCCTAATCCTCTTCCTACTGCCCCAAATTCCTTAAAATGGAAAAGGAAGCAAAGGAGCCACATGGAACTCTTTCCTGAGGTCACCCATTGATGGCTTAGTAATTTAGCTACTTTTCTGCCCCTTAGAAGGTTTCCTTCTTAGCCGGCAGAGTTTTTCTTTGTCCTGTCTCATTTGGCCTATCTGTGACAACAGAAAAGGCTTTTGGCATTGATGAAAAACAAATGATACATAAGCTTCCTTGACTTCCCCCAGAGAGCTCAAATCCATACTGTCATGGATGCTGAATCTCTTAGACACATACTTGTCATCTGGGCAGTGTCTAGCTTATTATATTCCTTGAGCATGGAGCAGAGACTGGCCATCTCTGGGGTTTGGTGTAGAGCTCCCTTTCATCTAACATGGTGTTTTTTGTACAGCTGCTGTTCGATAAAGTTAATCCACAGTGATGGCAGATTTGAAGGTCCCCTCTGGCCGGCACCTGTCTTTCTTGAAAGATTATTTGCTTCTCCAAGCTCGTCAAATAAGACTAATGTTAGTTTTCACATGAAGGGAGGCACCAAAAAGAGTCAGGCCGCCTTTGGAGCATTGTTCTGCCCATCATCCCAGATGAATCCAAGAATGGACCGATTAAAGGGTACTCAGTGAATACTGTGTGCTGCTTCCTTTACTTTCCCCTAAATTAAAATATCCTTAGCATCCAAGTGTGGAGCCTGTGAAGTCCCAAAGAAGAAGTGTCCCTCATTATGGTGTCTCCACTGTATTGACTATGCCTCCTCCATAATGAGAGATGTTGGAAAATATGACTCATGGCCCTTATTCCCAGAGCAAGACGCTGCCCATCTATGAGAATTGTCATTCTTAAGGAGGCAGTTCTCACTGGATGCAGCAGGCAAACTCTGATGAGAACAGAAAGAAAGAATGAAGATGTGTGACACATGATAGGCCACTGTTCTTCAAGCTCCTCAAGGAGGCCCGGACTTGGGTTTCTATTATTTTAATATCTTCCACAAATAGAATATGCTTTCAGTGGCAGATAATGTTGAGATCCTGAGAAAGGAGAGCACTGTTCATCATCATGGTGGACACTTCACCAAGAGCCGATAATATATAAACCACTGTACCAAATAGAACTAATGTCTCTCCAAATCAAGCTTGAATCCTACCAAGTGATGGAACTCTCAAGATTCCCCCATGGAAACTATTATGAAGAGTCCAGTAGAGTGAGGTGGTTTATTTATTCATTCATACAAGGAATATTTACTGAGGCCTGCTGTAAGCAAGATACTGTGATGAGCCCTGGGGATAAATCAGTGAACAAAAAAGAGAAAGATTCCTTCCCTCATAGTGACTAGAGTATTTTTAGAACCCCCATATTTTATCCCTAATAAAACCTGTTCTCATTTGAGCTGCCTCTTGACCCTCAACAACTCAAAGACTTCCTAAACATTTTGTTCCTTTGTGCTTTTATTCACCCATCCATGAATTTAAATATATTGAGCTAGGTCAAGGGGATACCAAGTGGGCCTTCAAGCTCAGAATCCAGTGGCAGAGGCAGCAAAGTCCATATCACTACACTACAATGTAGCAAGTGTCACAGTAGATACATGTAGAAAAGTATTGTTTAGCCATAGTAGATACATGTAGAAAAGTATTGTTTTAGCCAGGGTAGGATGGAGGGGGTGCTAGGTGGGTAGTGGTGATCAGGGAAGGTTGACAGAAGTGGCAACATTTG